GGCAGCAAAACTCCCCGTCACAGAAGCCGTCCGACAAAGACGCCCACCCGCCGCCTCAAGTCGGATCCGAAACTTCGTTCCGATCGAACGTCGCTTCAAGCGACTCGGAGTCCAGGGCCCGGGCTCCTCCGACAAGGCCCGGTGGAAAGAGTGCTATCACATCTTCGATAGCGAGACGGGTTTACCCCGTCAAGGCATCTGGTGTCCACTTGGAACAGTTGCCAGAGGTTGCAGAGATACTGAACCTCGAGGAAATGACGGCTGAGTCTTTCCTGGCCAACCTCAAGGCTGGAGAGATCGCTGAGATGGTACTCATAAGACCTGAGACCACTCAGGAGGAGCTGAACTCCTCCTCTGTCTTGGACGAGAACGTCCTGGAAGACATGAACAAGCAGCGTCAGGCGCGCTTGGGTTCTGAGATTCTCAAGAACCCCAAGGATCCGGTGTATCCTTTGGTGACGGAGTATGCGGACGTGGTGAATAAACACCCACCGACCCAACTCCCACCGGATCGAGGCGTACGGCACGAGATTGATCTCGTGCCCGGCACAAAGTATTGTGTCACGAGGCAATGGCCTCTCCCGCGCGAACAGTGCGAGGTCATTGATGCCTTCTTCGCCGCGAAAGCGAAGGCAGGCATGGTGCGGGAGTCGAAATCCCCGCACTCGACGCCGACTTTCTGCGTTCGTAAGCCGAACGGAAAGTGGCGTCTGGTTCACGCTTATAACAAGCTGAACAACGCAACGGTGCCGGCCCAAACACCGATCCCACGAAAGGATGTGTTGTTGAACAACATGGCCGGGAGCGTACTGTACAGTGCGCTGGATTTGGTAGACGGATACTACCAAATCCTGATGCGAGAGAGTGACATCCCGCTCACCGCGGTAAGCACTCCAAGCGGCATGCTTTGGGAGTGGCTCGTCATGCCGCAGGGCTTGTCTAACGCCCCGGCGACGTTCAATCGCCTGGTGACGCAATTGTTCCGCCCTTTGCGTACCTTCGTACAGACGTACTTCGACGACATTTTCGTCCATAGCCGTGCCGAGGGAGGCAAGACGGCCATGGAGGTGCATCTAGGACACCTCCGTCGAGTGTTGGACGTGATGCGAGCGAACAAGCTCTACGCCAACATCGACAAGTGCGTTTTCGCGTCACCAGAGATCAAAGTCCTCGGTTGCTTCGTAAGCAACGTGGGCGTTCGGGCTGACCCAGACAAGGTCAAGGCCATAGCAGCATGGCCGACGCCCCGATCTCAGAAGGATCTTCGAAAGTGGTTGGGTTTGGCCAACTACCTTCACAAGTACAGCGCTGGGTACGCGGGCTTCGCTAAGCCTTTGTCGAGCCTCCTTCAGAAGGACGTCGACTGGCGCTGGGAGCAAGAGCACCAGGATGCTTTTGACAGCATCAAGGCCAGTCTCCAAGAGGCCCCTGTCCTGGCTCTGCCGGACGAGACGAAGCCGTTTAGCGTCGTCTGCGATGCCTCCGATTACGCCATCGGGTGTGCATTGCTGCAGGACGACACGGCTGGACAGGAACGAGTCATCTCATTCCAGTCCAGGCAGCTCAAAGCCGCCGAGCGGAACTACCCTGTCCATGACAAGGAGCTCCTGGCAATGAAATATGCCCTTGTGAAGTTCCGTGTTCACCTTCTGGGCTCTACGCCCTTTGTGATCTACACAGACCACGCGTCCTTGAGGACGGCGACTAACTCGCCTCACCTCTCCCAACGGATGGCGAGG